TTTTGATGGATATTCTGTTGCAAGCTCTCTGGCAAGTTATTGTGGAGTTATCTTTGTTTGCTGTGTCTTATCAGTAAAGGCTTGGCAGGCAGCTACGCAGTTGCTGCCAAGGAATTCATTTGCCTTTGTCTGTGCCGAGCAGTTTTTCAGGCCTCGGCTGCCTGGTTGGGGGGTGTGGGTCGGACGGGGGACAGAACAGGCCCATGCGGAGCAGCATAGCCAAGGACATGGCAGCTGGGCTGCAGGGACAAGACCCACGTGCAGATGATGCTGCGGGGTGCGAGCGGGGCTGCCATGGCACTGCAAGGCCACCTGGGCGATCTGCTGCGGTGGGCCGTGGAGGCAGTGAGTGGCCCTGCAGGCGGACGGGGCAAGGCGTGGGCGGGCGGGACGGTTTTTGGGCACTCAGTCTCTAAAAGGTTCGCCATCACTGTGATATAGCAATAGCAATAGCACTTAGACTTATATACCGCTTCACAATCCTTTACAGCTCTCTCTAAGCAGTTTACATAGTCAGCATATTGCCCCCCAACAATCTGGGTCCTCATTTTACCAACCTCGGAAGGATGGAAGGCTGAATCAACCTTGAGCCAGTGAGACTTGAATTGCTGGCAACCGGTAGTCAGCAAAGTTAGCCTGCAATACTCCGTTTTAACCAATGTGCCACCTGGGCTCTATATAAAATTATTTTAAAGTTTTCATAGGTGTCCCACTCCAAAGTGATGGTACTTTGTTATATCTTCATCACTTAAGTCACAGGGGTTTCTGAAAGTTGCAATAATGGAACTTAAGGGCCATAAGTGGTTGTGAGACAGAAGCTGCTCTAGCAGGTCAGCTTGAGGGAGGGAGGGAGAGAGAGGGGGGACGGACGGTTGTTTGTTTTACCTTTTTCTGGTGTGGCTTCCTGTGATGAAGATTCAGAGCCAGAGTCACCAGTGGTGTTTTCCTTGTTACTGTCTGTGCTGAGCTCACTTGATTTGGGTGGACTCTACAAAAACGAAAAAGAATAGGGCCTAAAACCATTACCAACATTTCAGGCTTAAGGCAATATCTTAGGTTATTTGTCTGCAACATATAGGTTAAGAACGGTCATTGGGACTGGAAGTTCCATCACTAAGCAATGCAGTCATAAAGTTCCATCGCATGGCTGCATCGCTGATAGCAAACCTTGGCAGTTCCCACTGCCATCGTTAAGTGAGGATCACGGGCCATTAAGTGAGAACTTCTCTGTAACTTCCTATAACCAAAGTCAGGGGGAAGCCAGTAGAAAATCGCAAGTTCCAGACAGTGGCTGCTGGTGGGCGTGGGGAGTGCCTGGAGGTGACCGACACAGTATGGCAGGACCGGGGTTGACTTACCAGATTGACTTGTGATCTTCCCTTCTGGCCTCTCCGTTGACTTTGCTTGTGGGAAGCCAACAGGGGGGGATTTGCAAATGGTGATTATATGATTGCAGGATGCTGCAACTATCGTAACTGCAAGTTGGCTGCCAAGTGCCCAGATCATAGTCACATGACCGTGGGGGTGCTGGGAGAGTCAGAACTTGGAGTACTAGCAATAGCACTTAGACTTATACATCACTTCATAGTGCTTTACAGCCTCTCTAAGTGGTTTACAGAGTCAGCATATTGCTTCCAATCTGGGTCCTCATTTTACCGACCTTGGAAGGATGGAAGGCTGAGTCAACCTTGACTCGGTCAGGATCAAACTGTTGGCAGTCGGCAGAATTAGCCTGCAATACTGCATTCTAACCACTGCGCCACCATGGCTCTTTTACCAATACCAGTCACAAATAATACTCATTCAGCACTGTTATAACTTCAAGCATTTAGCAAACCAATTAATAAATCATCAGTATTTATTTGGGTGTAGCTCAGGCTTAGCTAATAGCCAACTGAGAGTTGATTTTGGTGGACTCAGAGATGACGTAGAGCTATTTGTGAAGCTGAAAACATTTGCTACCTAAACTGACAGAAAGATGAAGCAAGGCTAAATGTGAGGAACAGCTGTTTTTCTGTTTTATGGGATAGCCTCTGCTTCAATATTTATCCTACCATTCTCTACCTAATATCTGTGCAAGTGACGAGTGACCATCTAAAGCAGTGGTGGCGAACCTATGGCACGCGTGCCAGAGGCAGCACTCAGAGCCCTCTCTGTTGGCACACGTGTCACCGCTGCCAGCAGCAGGTCCACCAGGCCGCCCCGCCGCCCGGAGCAGGAGCCCCACCCAGCACAAAGGAGGCGAAGCGGCCGACTAGCAAGCTCGAGTAGAGGTGGTAGAACAGAGGTCACCAACCATTGTCGATTGGTGGACTGGAAGAAAAGGGAGGGGGTAGCATTTTACATGCGTGTGTGCGTGTGTGCACAGGGTCGCGAGCACACACGCGCTGCAAATGGGGCGGGGCTTGTGCCTGCGTGATACTCACTAGCCCTGCCCCATTCTTGCATGTTGCAGCCTTGTATCTGCACCCTGCGGTGCGGCAGTGGCCATTTTTGCACCTTGCAGCATGGTGGCCCATTTTTGTGCCCCTGGTTTTTGCGTGCCAGAGGGGGGTACTCAGAGGTGCCTCCCTGCCCCCCCCCCGAGGGCACCACAATGCTGATGTGGCCCTGGCACTGTGCAATAAATAAGTGGGTTTTGGGTTGCGGTTTGGGCACTCGATCTCTAAAAGGTTTGCCATCACTGATCTAAAGGCTGCTACTGGCATGTGTGCACCTATGGGTGAGAGTGCTAATTCCATCCTGCCATTAGATTGCGGCCTGCCCCCAAGTCTATACACAGGGACAACAGTATCTCATCCTGGGTTCTTTGCAATCAGCTGGCAGAAAGCAACCACTCCAAAACTCTATCACAAAGTACCAGCAGTCACTTTAAAAAAAGTTTGGCTCAAATCCCTACTCTACTGGAAAATGATCTTGGCCTATCGCCCTTATTCTGAATGTAACACATGGGTTTGGAAAAGATAATAGGCAGGAGAAGATTTATCTATGTTGCTGTAGCTGCATAGCATCGTTGCAGGTTTACAAAAAATATAAATCAGGCATGAACAAACTGTAGCCCCACAGACACTAGTGCAGCTCCAATGAGTAGAGCAGCATATATCCAAATCCATAAAAGCCCTCCAAAGCTGGACAGACTTACCAGCACTCTTTCGCTCATATTCTGCCCAAATACAAATTTGTTGGTGGAAGCATCGGCACTGTGTGTAGAGTTTTCTATGCTGGAAGGAGAGAAATACCCTTTACAATTTGATGGAAAGAAAGCAAACCCTGCCTCTTTACACCCACAGTCCCTCTGCCACCTTGCTTAAGGAAAGGAGCAGTGAAAAGCAGTGAAAGTGAGGAAGTTGCTGACATCCTCCCCCACCTGGAGCTGATATACTGCAGGAAGTAGTTTGTAGCAGAAGGCATCTCAGAGCTTGGGAGCCAGGTGTTTTGCACATCAGCTGATTCATCCCCTTCATCTCCTAGCTGGGATAAGATGGGTGGCACTGAGATTGGGTAAGGTTCAGAGAACAACACAAAGCACAAATGTATATAAAATACTGGAAACTGCTTTGGATTAGTTAGCTAATGGGTCCATCTTAGAGTAGTATTGGATCCTCTGATTAGAAGCTGCTCTGAAGGGGCTCCAGCTACTCTAAAAGGCTCCCAACAGCCTTGAACAGGAGATTCCAGAGCTCCAGTGATGGAAATTCTGCATAAACTCCACCACTAAGCAAACAACTTGCTTCAGGTATGCAGAGATAGAGAGCTAGAGAGAGAGAGAGAGGGAAAGAGAGAGAGAGAGCAGGGGGGAGAGGAGGGGGGGAAAGAGAGATTTACTCCCCACTCCACCTTCCATTCTGTTGTCTCTCTCATACAGACACTGATTTATGAAATAGCTGGAATGAAGGAAGACTGTTTTAGAATGTAGCTCCTGAACAGAAAAAGAACAACCCTTCAATTAAAGTTGGTGCTCAAAATCAAGGGTAGATATGGAGCCTGACGTTCTGTAGGAAGAAAGCAAGTCACGCAAGTGATACAATATATAATCTTCGATTCTAAGAACGATGCTTACGATTCATTTCTATCCCTCGGGGGTGCAGAAAAACTTCCAAGAGTGGCCCCCAAAATATGTTATGCAGGAGTCAGTATCAGAGATTCCAAAAGATCATTAAGTTCCACCTCTCCTTAAGGAGGTAGGGTCACAACTAGTCTAAGTCTAAGCCTAAGCTAAGTAGAGGTTGCTTCGTGTTAATGTCTAATAACAACACTTGAGTGTCTAATTACAAATAAGGACCTATGGCAAGCATTCTTCATTTTCTGATTGGCAGAAATTTACAGAATGAGGATAGTTCATTGACTGCAAATTTACAGAATGAGAATAGATCGTGCACAATTTTTCAAATCGTCACTGCCCTCTCTAGGAATGTCTGTGCATGGTTAACCTGAGAGGGCAATTGAAAGGAATCAAACAGAACTGCACGTCCCTTATCTAGTGCATTACTTAGCTATGAATGGCAACAGCTCTCTGGAGAGCCTGAAGCAGAGACAGATTCCTCTCCCATCATGATCCACTCAAGAATATATAACCAACACATCAGCAGTTGAAGGTTCTGCCTAAAACATGGGCATTGCCACTGAGCTATTGCCCCCTTAACGTTTACCAGCAGTACCTGGACCCAAACTGGAAAAATACCTTCACTCTGTCTCTTAGGTTTTGCCCAAACACAAAGGATTGCTGTGTGTTCTGCTCTTTTTCACATTTTTCAGTATGTGAAGCATTGTTGGGTTTATTTTTCTGGCATGGGTTCTCCTAAACAAGAGAGAAAGGGGGAAGGGAGGGAGAACATAACCACAAGAAAAAGAAACCAGTGAAGAAAACTAGAAATGTGATTCCCTCTCCCTCTTCCCCTTCAATCTATTAAAACAATTCGGGCTAAGCTGGGTGTACGTGACTGGTCCAGGGTCACACTAAGAGCCTCATGGCCCAGCATGGACTTGAAGCCAGACTTCATAGGTCAAACACTCAAGCCACTGTGCCTCACTGGTTTATCTGGAATCCACTATGCCAGAAGAGCAAAGGAATCTGGGGTACGGGGTAATCAGTGGAGAGAAAATGCCATTTTCATATTTCATTGGAAGTAACAAACACAAATGTCCAAGAAGCTATTGGGAGTCCAGTTCACCTTGAAAAAGACTTTACCAGATGGCCCCGAACAACACAAACCCCGGTGCTGAAGCAAAAGAGCAAGAGACCCACCAACCTCCTTCCCAGATTCCATCTATTTCCCAAATGCCACCAACAGACTCACCATGTCTTCTGAATCGGGACTTTTCGGTATGGTATTAGTTGTGGGTTCAAATGTAGCAGCCAGAGGATCTGGAGGGATACTTACACCATTGGTTCCACTGCTTGGAACTGTGATAAGAAAAAAACATGCAAGATGTAAAGGCTATCGCATCTTTATTTTTTGACCTTGCAGTAAATCTAATATTACTCTGTATTTGTTGTAGAGATGGGAAGCTCAGATAGCTGGACCAGTTAGTACGTAACACTGTTAAATGTAATAAGTGAGCAGAGCTCAGTAAGATGAGTTTGCAATGGATCTTTCTAGTCTAACATTCTTTCGCTTATTGGATCACTCAGACGAATAAAAAAAACCTACAAACAGGACATGCCAAGATTACCTGAATTTTTTTTGCAAAGGATTCATTGTCCACTGATTTTTTTTTCCAAAGTGATAGGACTTGATGACTTGATGACATTTCCCGCCCCAAAGAAGTTACAGCTCATTCCTCAAAAATGAGGAAATGAGGAAAACCCAGTTCTGTTCTTCAGCTCCAGCTTCTGTTATATACTTCAACAGGTACCCTTTAAGAAGGTCAATGCTTCTCTTTTTTCAAAAAGAGAAATATAAAATGACACATCCAATATTTCCTCAGTACCAGGTAACATGGTTCTAGCAGCCTTGCAAATATTTCCATAACCCAGCCTTTGTTTGCATATCTTTATCAATCATCTGTGACTTGACACCCCCCCCCCACACACACTGATGGGTATACACATATAACTTTAGATAAACACATGATATTCTGCTTGGAGGCAATTTACACTTCGATATTTAGAAACTGAGATTTATTGTAGTTTTGTGAGTCACTTTACACGCTGTTTCATGAACTGAAAAGCGAGCCGTTCTATACAGGGTCAAATTATAATTTCATCTAGACCACGGGTGTCAAAATCGCCACGTCATGTGACGTGTCACGACAGACTGTGACTTTTTTCGCATTGCTGGAGCTGGGGTGGGCGCGACCTCCGCATGATGCAATCGGCCCATGGGACAGCAGTTTGACACCCCTGATCTAGACAAATAACTAGCTTGCTGTGATTTTTAGAGGTCTTTCCTATTACCTATATCCAAAAAACTAGTTTGCCTTCCAGTCTTATTAGATTATATTAAATTTTCCACATATCCTGTGCATTGACAAAAGACTTATTCAAGAGTCAGTTTGGTCTGAGGTTAAGGCATCAGGCGAGAAACCAGGAGACTGTGAGTTCTAGTGCCCCCTTAGGCGTGAAAGCTGACTGGGTGACTTTGGGCTAGTCACTCTTTCAGCCCAGCCCACCTCACAGGGTCGTTGTTGTGGGGAAAATAGGAGGAAGCAGTGTGTTCGTAGTCCTGACTTATTAATAAAAAATAATAAAGGCGGGATAAAAAATAAATAACATATTTATAAAACAAATATAACTCTTCAAAATCCTAGTAGATTAATTTTTTTATAAAAATCTCTGTGTTATTCTAATCCCTTATTCTTCCATGTTGTCATTTGATCAATTCTAATCTGATTGTAAAAGCTCAGATATATCTGCGTGGGTGTTAAAGGTAGTCTATGCTACGCCGCGCAGCTCATCTTCCATATTTGAATCATAATTTATGTAAATTCATTTTTACCCTCTAAAATACTATCATCCGGTTGCTAGGCTATCCCCTTCATTTTGGAAAATCAACCGAAACAGTGGGCAGAATTTGAAAATATCATAGACTCCTATAAACACTTAAGACATTTACTCCTTGCCAGCTTGAAATTTATCACCCTGAATGAAGAGACTACAGAGACTAACTTGCCTGTTTGTGAGAAAGCTTTTGGCTGGGGAGCTTGCAATACTGCTGGGCGCAAGACACTTCGCTGTTGTTCCTTCGGTTTCTGACTTGGGACTCCTGAAAATGAAAGCAGGCAATTCTTTCTTTGACTCTTAGCACTGCTCGCATTGGTAATGAGAAAAATTCAGCAAAGGGTGAACAGCAACAAACAGTTTGCCCTGGGAATGAGTTGTGTTAAAAATACAGGACTATGGTAAAGGATTTTGAAATGCAATCTTCAGATAATCTAAAGCAGGGCTTTTCAACCAGTGGTACGGGTACCACTTGTGGTACATTGACACCTGGCAGGTGGTACGCAACCATCCCAGAAAAGTAGTGGGGGAGGGGAATGAGCTGAACCGGTGGCAGCACCGCACAAGCCTGAGCGAGAGATGGCTGGAGCTGCAGGGCTGTCAGGGCTCAGCGGAAGCGCCAGGATCAGCGCCAGGCTCCAGCTGGAGCTCGGCACTGATCCTGGCACTTCTGCTGAGCCCAGAAGAAGCGCCGATCAGCTGGAATGTTGCATCATCTCCAGGGTCTTGTGATTTACATTCAGATGCTTGGCAACCGATTCATATTTATGACGGTCACAGTGTCCCAGGGTCATGTGAAGTGACCAAAACCTGCTCCAACCACCCATCAGATGGGGGAATAAGAACCACACACACACCCCACCCCACCCCACCCCACCCCCGCTGCCAATCCTCAACAGAAATGCTTACAACAATGAAAACCTCGGACAGGAGGAAGGGCGCCACCGGGTGGGCAGGCAGGTGTCTTGCTTGGCTGTGGCCTGGGGGGCACTTTTTTCAGTGCCATTGTAACTTCGAACAGTCACTAAGCAAACTGTTGTAAGTCGAGGACTACCCGTACTTTATCACTTTTTTCCTTTTTTGGGGGGGGGGGTCATCAAGTTTTTGACACCTTGCTAGGCGACTGGTGATACTCGGATATTGCCATATCCTAAAAGTGGTACAATGGGTGAAAAGGTTGAAAAGCCCTGCCCTACTATCTTATAACTTTTGTTTTCCCTCCATTTCACACAAAGCCATCGCTTACCTGCACTTGGTGCCTGGCCGTGGATGAGAGTCGGTGGCTTCAGTCTGAATCCAGTGCTCTTTTCCTCTGTGGTGCAAAATAATAATAATAAAAAAAAATAAGATGATTGCACAAGCTGTACAATGGGAGAGGCAATGGCCAAGATTCTAATATTTTGCCCAATGTTATTATTTTTTCAAAAGGAAAAAGAACCAGAAATCAAAAGATAAGAAACCTAAAGATAATGATAATATAAAGAGAGCTAGTTCGTTGTCTAGATTTGCCATAGCTTTCCTCCCCAGGAGCAAGCGTCTTTTAATTTCTTGGCTGCAGTCCCCATCTGTGGTAATCTTGGAGCCCAGGAAGATAAAATCTGTCACTACCTCCATTTCTTCCCCATCTATTTGCCAGGAATTGAGAGGGCTGGATGCCATGATCTTGGTTTTCTTAATACTAAAATGCAGAGACATCACCCTGCCAACAAAAGTACGTATAGTTAAGGCCATGGTTTTCCCAGTTGCAATGTATGGCTGTGAAAGCTGGACCAAAAGAAAGGCTGAGCGCCAAAGAATTGAGGCCTTTGAACTATGGTGCTGGAGAAGACTCCTGCGAGTCCCCTGGACTGCAAGGCGATCAAACCGGTCAGTCTTAGAGGCGATCAACCCTGACTGCTCTTTAGAAGGCCAGATCCTGAAGTTGAAACTCAAATACTTTGGCCACCTAATGAGAAGGAAGGACTCACTGGAGAAGGGCCTAATGCTGGGAAAGATTGAGGGCAATAGAAGAAGGGGATGACAGAGAATGAGGTGGCTGGATGGAGTCACTGAAGCAGTAGGTGCAAGGTTAAATGGACTCCAGAAGATGGTAGAGGACAGGAAGGCTTGGAGAAACCTTGTCCATGGGGTCATGATGGGTCGGACACGACTTTGCAACTAACAACAACAGTTCGTTGTAGCAGTTAAGGTGCTGGCTTAGAAACCAGGAGTCTGTGAGTTCTAGTTCTGCCTAAGGCAGTGGTTCTCAACCTTTTTAATGCCGCGACCCCCAACCGGTTGTAAGTCGAGGACTAAACCAGTTGTAAGTCGAGGACTAAACCGGTCGTAAGTCGAGGACTAAACCGGTCGTAAGTCGAGGACTACCCAACCAGTCGTAAGTCGAGGACTTTCCCTGCCCGGGAGTGCTGCGCATGCGTGGTTCTGCCCCCTGCGCCGGCCGAGGCGTAGCTGGCAAGTGGCAGAGACAGAGCAGGCCGACCACCAGCTGGCCCAGCTCAAGGGAGGTAAGGCACCCGCCGGAAAAGGGGAAAAAAATGGCGGACAGCCTTGCTTGGCAACCCCCGTGAAATGGTCAATCGACCCCAAATGGGGTCGCGACCCATAGGTTGAGAACCGCTGGCCTAAGGCATGAAAACCAGCTGGCTGACTTTGGGCTAGTGGTCACTCTCTCTCAATCCAATCCACAGGGTTGTTGTTATTGTTAAGAAAAAGAGGAGAAGGTAGGAGTATTATGTAAATTTTTCGCCTTGAGTTTCTTATAAAAGGAGTTTTGGTGGCACAGTGGTTAGAATGCAGTATTGGAGCTGATCCTGATGAGGCTCGAGGTTGACTCAGCCTTCAATCCTTCCAAAGTTGGTAAAATGAGGACTCGGATTGTTGGGGGCAATATGCTGACATTATACACTGCCCAGGGAGTGCTATAAAGCGCTATTCCTATTGCTAAAAGTAATAGAGGTGGGATAAAAATCTAATAAATAAAATAAATAAAAACAGGCTGAGCTAAAAGTAACCAGAACCAGCCAATATTATTAGAATATCCTGATGATTTTATACAGCATTTTTCTGAGTAATGTGTCTAAATAAAGATTTTCTATAAAAGGCCGCTAATTCAATCAATTCTTCTAATTCAGGTTTATCTAATTATGAAGTGAAATCTAAATGTACAATATACCTCATGGCTGTGTCCCTATGACTTCTAATCTTCCTCAAGGCACCGTTTAAACATGCATTCATTTCTCAGGCAAAGCTGGACAACAGGAATGGGACAAAAAGAGGCAGATCTAGGAATGTTTTTTTCTTTACCTGGCTGTGAAGGAGGAAACTGTGTTAATGAAGACGTTCTTTCCCGTTTTACAGGAGGACAGTAACCCCCATCTTCTCGGTCAGATTCTGTAGGGAAAGTCAGTACACAGAAGAAGTAAAAATATAGCCCTGGCAGGTAATTCGGATTGGATTCTCACCCACTCAAGTGGAAATCTAAGCTAAATAGGCCTGCAATAGATAGTTCTCATTGACTGATCATGTTTTCAAAGACATGCCCATTCACAGCTATTTATCCACAGAGGAACCCTGTCTTTAACTTTCTCCAAATGTCAGCATTGCTACACCCCTTCTTTATACATCAGTGTACAGTTAACTTATGGCAATTGCTGCCAACTGGTTTTTACTGAAGGCAACCATCCATGAAGACTAAATGGAACTTCCCTATTCAGAGAAGTCCTTTCTCTAAGTCAGGTTTCTCTAGATTTGGCAACTTTAGGACCTGTTGCCAGAACTCCCAGAATCCCCAGCAGCATGGCTGGCTGAAGAATTCTGGGAGTTGAAGTCTACAAGTCTTAAAAGTTGCCAACTTTGGAGACCCCTGCTCTAAATACTACATGATTAGTCAGATAGAAAACACGATGGCTAT